AAATAATATATATTTTTAATCATCCCCAAATGATAAACTGTTTTCAAAGGAAAAATCTGTTATTTTACCATGCAAAGATTTAACAATACCATTAGTAAGCTAATTGCATTCTTAGACACTAAAATAATCAAATCCAATATTAACTAGAATGAAGCAAAGCACATTTCTCCTCAAAATACTGTTCAGATGTAGTCAACTTAAGTCTTACCTTCGAACTCAGATAAGTACTCAAAGTCCATAGAAATTTATAAATCAAAACAGTTTACTGGTAAGTAACATATTTAGAAAGCTATCTTGTTTGCATCTGAATTATATTTCTCATGAAAATTCGAACCTTCATTTTATAAAGAGAAAGACAGATATTTTTATCCAAGTTTAAGTTAAATTACAATTCACTAAACTATCCGATAAAAGAGATCACAATATATAACTATTTAACAGTCTTTATTGTAAGTCTTTTTTAAATCCCCCAGTCATCTACCAACATAACATGTGAATAGGAAGAACACATTTACTCTTTCAAAGCTCTACCCTGGTGTGTTTAAAAAAAAAAAAAAAAAAAAAAAAAAACTACGGCTGGAGTAGTTACTAAATTTTAGTTGTCATTCATTATTAAGAATGCAAATATTCCCCAAGTACACTACCAGGTAATACTGTTTCTAGTCTTTAAAGTACTGGAGAACTTACTCTTAGGTGTTTTCCCCTCTAGCCCCAAACCTGAAAATAAAACATACAAATCAAGGAAAATTAGAATGTGTTATTAGCATGCAGATGATGTCATTGAACTGGAAGGAAAACCATCCTATCCATTAGAACACAATCTGTAAAGAGTCACTTACCTTTAATCTTCAAACAAACAATTATGGCACATCATAGAGAATGTTTTTCTTCTGACAAGTAATTGTGTTGAGCATGATGTGGTATGGTAAATACAGTGGATTCACATTAGGCCATTAGGCTCTTCTTTTATTCACAGCACAGTTCCAACAGAGTAAAGGTTACCAGCAGTATTAACCTTTTGATCTAGATATTGGACAGGACTCAACCCCTACAAGGAGTCTTGAGGTTGCTGCTTGGCAACACCTCTAGTCTCTATCCACTAAATGCCTGTGGAACCCACGCCAGATGTAACAAAAAAAAGTCTTTAGACATGGCCAAATATGTAAAGATTGTCCCCTGTTGAGAATCAGAGCTTTAGTAAAATATGGCAGCCAGGGAGAATGATTGCAAACAAAAAGAATACAGATAAAAGCCCAGCAGTGGTGGCCCAAGCTTTTATTCCCAGCACTGGGGAGTTCAAGGCCAACCTGGTCTACAGAGTGAGTTCCAGGACAGCCAGGGCTATACAGAGAAACTCTGTCTTGAAAAACAAAACAAAACAAAAGAAGAATACAGATAAAAACAATGATCTCTCTTTCATTGGTACAGGCCAAAGAACTTTTTGATGCTACTAACCTATGACAATTTTAAGAGGAAACATCTTCTACTCCTGTACCTAAATTGAAGTGAAAGAAGTGCAATTAAGACAACCCACAAAGAGCATAATGAAAATAAATCTGAGTAATCATCTCTCTACATTCCTCTTAGAAACAAAACCTGGAGTACTTACCATGTGCCAGACTTAGCACTTGGTATTCAAGAAATAGTCATATATCAATTATATTTACTGAATTGAGAAATGACTCTTATAAACTCATATGTATGTATGTATATATATATATATATATATATATATATATATATGTTCATAGTTCCTCTTAACTCTCTTTGAACTATGAAAAGAATGGAAAACATTTTTGTTTGCTAAAGTTTCATACTGATGTGAGATTATACCTAGAATATGTGAGTAATTAATAATATAATAAAAAGATAAATAGCCCAAATAAAATGGTCAAAGAATATGAATATGTATCTTCTCAAGAGATGACTAACAACTATTAAGCATTTTAAAATATTCCATTAACATTCATTAAGGAAATTCAAAGCAGAATCACAGTAAGATATTTAAATGCACATATACTGCAATGACTACAATTAAATAGCCAGATGGTAACAAATGCTGGCACTCATATGGAGAAACTTGGACCCTAACTGCTGAAGGGAATATAAAATGGAACACTTGCTTCGAAAGACAATATTGCCATTCTTCCAAAAAATTAACCATAGAGTTATGTGACCTGATAACTTCATACAGGTATATAGGCAAGAAAAATAATAATGTAGGCACACACACATACAAATAGCACATAAATCATTATAACCTCATCATGGGTAACAGTCAAGTGGCCAGTCAAGGGATAAATAAAATTGAGCATATTCACAAAATGAAATTCAATTTGACCATTAAACTGAATGAAGTACTGATACACACTAGCAACATGCATGGGTGAGTCATGAAGATCTTATGCCAACTGAAAAGAATCAGTCACAAAAGGGAAAATAATGTGACCTCACTCACATGTATGAAATGTTCATAATAGTAAAATTTATAGCAATTGAAAGTAGATTCATGGTTACCTAGGGCAAACACCAGGAGAGGGACAAGTGGTTGAGAAAATGGGAGCTACTGGACAAGACAGGGTTTGTTTTCATCATTTTCAATGGTGAAAAAAAAATCAAAAATGGACTGAAATATTGGTTGTATCTGTGAACACACTAAACTATACTAAAATGCAAACTATTTATATGTTAAGAATATATTTATATAGCGTATTTTAAATGGGTGACTATCATATGAATCATATATGAATAGAGCTGCTTTGTTCAAAATAGCATTCAAGGTAGGGTTTTAAAAAACCATCAGCATTTGGACGATGGCTTATTAAGAAAAACATCTTTAGAATGTCCTATCATCTGGTGAGAGCTCATTCTTCTTATTGTAAAGTATGAAATGACCATTGAATCCTACCTAAATTACTGAAAATATTCTGGGTAAATACTTAAGAACATGAAAATCCTGAAAGTACAAAAATTTCCAGTATGAGGAAATTTCAGAGATGAGCAGCACAGTGACCATTTTAGGAGGTATTAAGCAATTAAGCAATTGGGTTTGGGGGGGCTGTGAAACAAAGAGTTAAATAATCCATATGAAATGAGGAAGCCTGGAACAACCCCTTCTTTACCAGGCTTCAGAGATGCTCAGAAAACAACCTTCCTTCCTTCCCATGCACCATCAACCTTCTTTTTCAGGAGCCCATGATAATCATCCATAGATTTTTCTCCAGTAACAAATAGGAAGTGTGCATAACAAAGGACAAAACAAAAACAGATTGAAGGCGCTATATAAAGAGCTAAACCAGTTCCCAGCAATGGCTGCTGCGAAGTTGGACAGTCACCAAGCATTACTGCTTTTTCCAGGGATACACAACAAGATCCTTGAATGTATAGCTAGCCCCCAGTTCCACTACTGAGATGATTCAACCTGTGTCATTTCCAGTCCAAAAAAAGTCAGCTCCTATGTTTCTCTTATGTAGAGAGCTGTCTCGACCATGCTACTCTGTCTCATTGCAGAGCCCCTGGTATGCGTTGAAACCACACTCCACAATTTTCCGGACCTTAAGTATTAACAACGTCAGTGGCAACGAAAAGCCTAGACACATTAGGGATTCTTAAAATGCATAATAAATCTCAGCTCTTGTCTTGGCTGTTGCAAACAATCCAGTTTACCATCAGTAGAATATAGGTACCTCATTCAATACTGTGCTCCAATTTTGAAGCAAAAACAGGGCTAATACTGGGGTGGGAAAGGCAAAAACCAAAACCAAAAACAAAAACCCAAAACCAAGATTTTTTTTTTTTTAAATAGAGCCTCAGGTTTCAAAATGACTGCATTGGAAGCTGGAATGACCCAGATTTTTTTTTTGGGGGGGGAGGCAGCAGGTATTCATTCCTTTGCGGGATGGCTGTGGCTTGAGGTGGGAAGGGGCACCTGGGGATTAGGGCATCTACATGGTGAGAGAAAGAATTGGGAATGGACTTTAGATACCACCCACCTCTGCAAATGAATCACTGCAGTGTCAACCCTGCACTGATTCCATGAATTGCCAAACAGGATGAGGTAAGGCATAAGCCCGGAGCCCCCTCCTCCCTTTTTCCCCTCCTCCTGCGCACAGAAGGGCGCATCCCTCAGCGAGGTGCACCACGCAGCCCAACGCCGGCTGGGGCTGAAAGGCTGACGTCACCTTTCTGCATTGGGCTCAAGGACTAGTAGCAGTACCAATTAGGTGGGGAACAGAGTTGGGGCACTACCGCAGCTACCAGGTGGTTAGGGTCCTCCTCTTAGGCACTGCAGATTAGATTCACACAGTAAACACAATGACCGGGTGGAAACAGCAAAGGATGGAAAGGAACCAGAAAAGGGGTCGTAAGCCCCAGTAGCTGTGTAAGATCAAAGATAACCCCTGGCTTATGTAAGACCCTCTCCGTGCGCCTCCACGCGGTGGCGGCGCCTGTCCCGCATTAGTGCGCTTGGGAGACTGATCGCCCTTGTCCAGGCATGCAGAGGGCTCCCAGCGACTCTCTCCCTTAGCCCCACCGGGTCAGGACTAAGTCGGAATCTGAGATCAAACCCTGCTGTCCTGTGTTCGCTCCCAACCCACCACAGGTTAGACCCAACAGACCCCCAAAACAGGCTGTTAAGGTAGGAAGAGGAGTCCAGAAGAGAAAACAGACAAATCCGCAACTTTCCCTAGGGGCTGACCCTGTCCTGGGAGCTTAAGAAATCAATGCATTAAAAAAATGCTTTTGGAAGGGTTAAAAATTTGCAACCACCGCCACCACCTAGCTCACTACAGCTTTCTTCAGGCAAAAACGAGGGTCGGAGCAGCCCAGACCTGCACTACCGTCCCGCAGCCCGGACTCAGCACCCGGAGCCTGTCTCCTTATCCGCCTGCTAAGATTGGGTTTGGGGTTGGGGTTTTCCTTCCACCTTTCTTTCTAGGAGCATCACCACACGGTCTGATGGACCGCGTCCTGGCCATCAGTCAGGCGTGGGCACTCACCCAGAAGACGAAGGAGTAGATGATGAGGAGGGTTTTGAGACAGGTTATCACAGGTTTGGTCTCCATTCTCCTTGATGCCATACTACAGAGCTCCGGCGGCGGCAGAGGCGGCGGGCGGCGGGCGGGCGCGAGGGAGGGGGAGTAGGCGGGGCCAAAGGAGGCGGGGCTGGGGAGGTGCGCGCAGGCCGAGCTTCCCGTGCACGCGCAGGCTAGGTGACGCGCGTGCATTAGCGCGCGCCCTGCGGGGCTTGGGCAGAAGGAGAAAACTGGCTGGCGACTCCATACTGAAAATGCAGCCCATGGCTGCACTCCTGCTCTGGCACAGCCCCCCCCCCCCACCGCCAGCTGAGGTGGAGGCTGTAGTGGTTCCAAGAGCCTAGACTAGGCCGAGTTGGAGTTCAGGGCAAACCTCAGATCACCCCAGCATTAAGATTTCGGCTTTGTACGAAGCAGGAGCTGCACCTGGCTACAAAGAGATTGTGTAGTGTGTCCCTGCGTTTGGACACTCAGGAGTCACGTCCTTGGTGATAAGCACACCTGGTCTGTGCCAGGAACAGACTGTGACAGCCAGAGAGACAGCTGGAAAGATAGTAAGGAACCAGGGAGCCCAGAGACCCCCAAATGCTTGCTATTTCACTGGTATCTATAGGTTCCCTTTGAACTCCATAGTTTTATATTCCTTCGCGTTTGGAAATGATAAAACTACAAAATCGCAAGTAACAATCATATACATAAGATGTTTAACAAATAACAACAATCATTTAAACTCCCGGAGAAACACTTGGCCTCACTTAGTGAGCACAGACAACCTCACTCCTGTGAAGCACACTGCAGCAAGGAAACATTGAGAAGTAACTTGGTATGTCCTCCAAAAGTTGAATGTGGAGTCACCATAAGAATTCTACTCCTAGATATATACCCAAGAGAAATGAAGCCACAAGTCCATGTGAAAATGAGGGTGTGGCTATGTCTAACACTAACTCATACTAGTAACAAGTGGAATCAACTGAGAAATGCATGATGTATTCATTCATACAATGGAAAACTATTCATCTGTAAAAAGGAATGAAGTGCTGCTGGTACATGCTTCAAAGTGGATGAGCTTTCAAAGCAAGCATGGTGAAAGAAGCCCAGACACAGAAAGATCACATACTGAATGATCCACATCTAAAATAAACCAATAAAGAAAAAAATCAGTGGTTAATAGGGGGAAGGAATAAGGAAGGAGTAACTATTGATGGGTTGGGTGGTTGCTTTGATTTTTGGAGTAACGAAAGTGTTGTGAAATTAAATAATGGTGGTTGTATGGTTTAGTGAGAATAATAAAACCTAATGAACAGCATACTTTTTCAAGAATGACCTTCAAGGTATGTGGTTTATTTCAGAACAGAAAATAATATACACAGTACCTAGATTTTTCTGTGGCTAGTTCAAAGAAGAACGCATAGTATAGATTCTGCCAGAGATTTAATCTTATTCCTGAGAGAAAATACAATAGGATGCAGCAGCATCACAGGCTAGCTCCATGTGGACATGGTTAAGAATACATTCTGTGAAAGAATAAAATAATAGTCTATAAAGCTTGGCAACGCCTTTCAAGAACAGTTGTGGCTAATATAATTATTACCTGCAATAAACTAGACATGGTTGCAGGTCAGGAAAGTCACTGAACAAACAAGAAACAAATATGAGAAAGAAGACATGGTGAAGAAAATGGCCAATAGTAACACTGTTAGGTGAAAGGGAGACTTGGCAGCAATTCTCAATAATTGCTGCTCAGTGGTACCACCTGCAGAGCTGAAAAGAAACAGTGAATGCCCTGACCCATTCCTAGCTAATCAGAATTATTTGGTATGAATTGAAGACTCAGAGCCTTTAAAGCTCTTCAGCTGGTTCTAATACTAAGCAAGAGTTGAGAGTCATTATTCTTATTGTGATGAAATTTCTTCTTGACAAAAGAGATTCCTTCTTCACCTTGAAAGGTTGCAGACTGATATTTACAACTCTGTGGAGGAACAGAGAGAGGCTTCTATTGATTTTAGTCTCATATCTGAAAAATACCCTGGCCATGTCTAACTGATTCTATAAAGTTAAAGATCCTAACACCTCCTCAAGGATAATTTGATGAGTTTATACAGACTAGAGGATATTTATGGATGAAAAAATCAGTTTCGACCAATTCACCACTACAATTTGGAGCTTTAGTTTGGAATGTCTAATTAAGTCTAATTTCTTGAACACTTAGATTATTCTATGCCAAATAAACAATTTAAATGTGTATATTTGCATATATACCTTAAGTAACATAACTAATGAGTAAATTAAAATCTTTGTAGCCAGCCTTGCTAACAAATCGTGATCTGTGGTTTGGGGTTAAAAAAAAAAAATCATTCTAGTTTTATAAGGACTGAGGAATTTCCTTGCATCCACAAATTTCATTACTAAATCCAGAAAAGTCTTGCCCCAAAGAGGACAGTTGGTCTTGGTGAAACAGATAGGGACTGCTGCAAAGGGACAAAAGGCAAATAGCCTCAGGGCCATTAACTTATCGTGTATTCTCTTCTGTCTTTTTCCTCCTACTTTGCCAACAGCTTTGTTCTGTCAAAGGTCAGAAAGCCAGAATGTTTACAGACTAGGAGCCCTTAAGACTGAACCAAGCTAAAATTAGTGTGGTCTGAGATAACAACACAAATAAAAGACAAAGATAAGAAAGAGCTGTCACTGAAGACAAATCTAACTAAGCTCTCTGGCTTCATTTATTCTTAGTTGATCTAAATAGCACTGATTTCAGAGGTTGAATATATGTTTTTAAAACAAATGCTTCCACTGCCTTGTCGGAGACAATGCATCTGGCATGTGAATTATAAAGGTTGGCTTGGTCAATTCACAAACACTTAAAGACTGCTGCCTTTGCTGCAAAAAAAAAAAAAAAAAAAAAAAAAAAAAAGAAAGAAAGAAAGAAAGAAAGAAAGAAAGAAAGAAAGGAAAACAAAACAAACAAACAAAAATCCTGATTCCTTACTATATCCCACGGGAGTGGGATAAGCTTGGAAGCTCTGTCTTCTTCAAATCATTCTCTCATCTTTGCTGCCCTAACCTGTGTATCAGACTCTGTTCAGTTCTGCATGTGGACATGTTGACTAATTGAGAAGCTTTTTTTCCAAGACTATAATCCAGAGTTGACCCTGCCTATTGACTCTTGGGGCAGCTACCTTTGTCTGCATTGCCCTTGTGATTTCTCAGCAGCTCAACCACTGAGAATCCTTCAGTTCTGTTATAAAGCAAGAACATTTATGTGTCATGATGACACGGGTAGTATCTCAGTTCTTCCTGAGTTATCCCCCTGACCCTTAGCCCACCAAGTACAAATCTAGGATGTCAAAGCCCAAGAGGTGAAGTATCTCTTGAAACTATGCCCATGACTAATGGTCAATTACCAAATTCTAGCCCACCCTCCACCAAATATATGAAAGTTGCTGCTCTCATTTGTCCAACAAGCAGCAACATGGTTCCTCTTGATCATTGTTGTCTCCCTCCAGTTCCAGGTGATATTGGACTAGTGTCCTAATTAAGCTTTGCCTGTTTGATTTGCAAACTATGGTCCAGTGACCAATCCTGCCATCTGGTGTCAATCCTATCCCTGAACTAGTAGCATTGACACCCATTAGGAAAGTCTGTTGAAAATGTGAGACCTCAAGACCACATTGCAATTCCATGTTATCCCAAGATTCAGTTACAAAGAAGTACCTGACAGGGCATCACTGATATATCCTCAGAATACGACTTCATTTCAAATACCTTTGTGACAAGTCAATATGGGGTCATATTAGACTATTGAGGGCCCTAAATCAATAATGACTGGGTCTTTTAAAACAGGGATAAGTATGTAAGTTCATGTAAAGACTGAGTCACGGAGGAAAAAGGCCATCTGGCAACAGAAGCAGACATCAGAGCATTACGGATCAATGGTCATCCTCAGAAACAATGAGGACAGTAAATATTCATCTAAGAGTAGCACCAAGAGCAGGTTTTCTGACCCTTTGAACTGGTTTAACTCTAGCTCCATGGTATACAATGCCCTCTTCTGGGTAGCTAAAGTCACATTCACATACTCACACATGCATACACATAATCAAAAATAAAATAATCTTTTAAAAAAGATGCACAGTTTGTCATGCTTTCTTGTGGCAGCCACAGAAAGAAAGAACACCCTTATGTATATATTAAAAAGAATTGAAAACAGACATTTAAACAAACAGTTGCATAAGGATGTTCACATTAGCACTATTCACAACAGCCAAAGTGTTTCATCAGATCATGAATGGATAAACAAAATGTAGCATATGTATGCAATGAAATGTTATTCACTCATAAAGAGGAATGTATAAAATATTATATGTGAGAATGTGGATGAACCTTGAAAACTTTACGCTCAAGGAAAGAAACCAGACACAAAGGCCACAGATTTAATTATCCAATACATGTGAGCCATCCTAAATTGCAATTTAAATTGGGCAAAGTGGTAACATTTATGTTGTATGTACTTAACCATATACAGAAATGATACATAACTACAGCGAGTCCAAAGGTTCTGCCACCTGAAGAAAGGGTGTGTTTGGGGAAGCGAAAGATCTTCTGGAGGCAAATAAGAATGTAGGAGGCTAGAGAGGAGTCAGTTTCTCCTGGCCTTCTAAAGTGATAATAAGAATTTTCTCTGTTTATCTAAAAGTGAGGGAAGCTTTTACTATTTGTTATCTCAAAACTGGGCAAGTACTTAAAGGTGAGGAGAACTACGATCAAAGCCCCTATCTGGTCCCTGATTCTATTGTCATCTCTTCAATCTGTTGTCTGTAACATTTCAACAGAATCTTCAAACACAATCCTTAGCATGTCACACTCTTGCCTTCTACAAGCCTCAGAAGAAGACTTTCTATTACCACATTAGGAATCAAATTTCAACTCTTTACCTCCGTTTAAAAACATCCCTGAGCTGGTTCCAACTTTATCTGCTACTGCTCTCACTGGCCCTGTATTTCAGCTGCTTTCACATAAAGCTTTCACATACAATCTGGTCTCCGTGCCACCCAGGGGCCTTTCCCACTATCTAAACATGCACACACACACACACAAACA